ATATATATATATATATATATATATATATATATATATATATATATGTATGTATGTATGTATGTAAATGTATTTATGTATAAATATCCTCTCGCCTCTGACCCCTGTATAGCAGTCCCACAACTTACTGAAACTCGATGACACTCGAATACCCTGTCGGTCATGTCTAGTAGCTGGAAATGAGCTTTTCACAGTGTCTGCTATAATGTTAATGTTGTTATTGTGTGTGTTTAAACTAATGATTATGGCCACTGTGCACAGTACAGTTACAAACTTATTGCCACATTAGATCGTCATGATAACATAATATATACTTTCATTGATTTCCTGAAGATAAACACCAAAAATAACAACTGGAATCACTACAGCAGTCGCCATGATCAGCAGTCTGATCTCATATGAAGCATGAGCTCACGATGACATATGATTACATACAGCACCTTTAAGGACTCAGTAGTATAATTTCTTCCTAGGTCGAATTGAACCTGCAACCCTCTAAGGGTGCTTTTCACACCTGTGAATCGATTCAGTTGTTCCGAAACAGAGATTACAATTGTTACATTGTTGCTCTTTGCTCTTGGAGCGGTTCCAGCCGAGACCACCTCACTCAAGCGATCTCGGAGCGATTACTTTGGCGCGGAACAGAGCGCGATTGCCCTGTTCACAAATGCCAAACGAACCGCGCTAAATGGGCAAACGAGATACGTTCCGAAACAAAAGTTTAGGTGTGAAAGCACCCTAAAAACCAGACCAGAACATTAATTTTACCTTTCACCCCACATGACCTCTAAATTCTGCATGAAATTCAAATTTGCAGTGTTTTTTGCTACTTCAGATTGTTAAGGTGAAGATTTAGTTGTGCAATCCACTAAAAACTGTTTGTTTTGTTCATCTTTAATCAAGACATTTCTCATCTACTTCTGCTCTGGAATGGCAGTCTTTCTCTGACTCTGATTGGGTAAAATTTGCTAAGCCGCGGCCATCTAACTGTCAGTATGCTGCGAGTGAAAGATGATAGGAGGAGCACAACAATAAAACCCCACCCCCTGCTCAATATTTCGCTTCAATAACAATGTCTGCATGGACTATCAGTCCTTTAGGGCGTGACTATCTGTCGTTTAGGGCGTAACTATCTGTCGTTTAGGGCGGGACTATCTGTCGTTTAGGGCGGGACTATCAGTCTTTTAGGACGGGACTATCAGTTCTTTAGAGCAGGACTATCAGTCGTTTAGAGCAGGACTATCCTTCATTTAGGGCGGGACTATCCGTCGTTTAGGGCGGGACTATCAGTCGTTTAGGGCGGGACTATCCTTCGTTTAGGGCGGGACTATCTGTCGTTTAGGGCGGGACTATCCTTCGTTTAGGGCGGGACTATCAGTCTTTTAGGACGGGACTATCAGTTCTTTAGAGCAGGACTATCAGTCGTTTAGAGCAGGACTATCCTTCATTTAGGGCGGGACTATCCGTCGTTTAGGGCGGGACTATCAGTCGTTTAGGGTGGGACTATCAGTTCTTTAGAGCAGGACTATCAGTCATTTAGGGCGGGACTACTATCATTCATTTAGGGCGGGACTATCTGTGGTTTAAGGCGGGACTATCAGTCGTTTAGGGTGGGACTATCAGTTCTTTAGAGCAGGACTATCATTAATTTAGGGCGGGACTATCCGTCGTTTAGGGTGGGACTATCAGTCGTTTAGGGTGGGACTATCAGTCGTTTAGGGTGGGACTATCAGTCGTTTAGGGTGGGACTATCAGTCGTTTAGGGT